AGACCTGGAAAAGGTCAGTCCCTTTTTCTGTTTCCCATTTATCCTAAAGTCCAATAGCCCTTATTTCCAGAAACGCTGTGCTGTGAGCGTCCACTGCCAGTCGTCTCCCAACAGTTGCCAGTCAGCTTCTGGGACACTAAGGTCTCGATGACGCTGGGGCTCACAGTCCACCCCCACCCTCCACCTGATCTCTGTCAAGATGGAGCCAGGCACCCAATGGTGGATTTCCATCCTTTCTCCACCACCTTGCTCCAGGGTTTCCATTTCAACACTGAAGGCTTCACATTCGTCGTCTTCCTCTGACCCCTTAGAGAGACGCATTTCTGAAACCTTTTCGTGGATGCTCTCTCTTCCTGACTTTAAATAAGACTTATTGCTTGACCCTCTCCCCAAAGGTTGTTGCTCTTCTGTAGTTATGAAACTCAAATGGGGCTCTGCTGTCCAGGGGGAAATTGGTCAATTCTACTGGATGGCTGTTGGGTGGCACCTGGAGTGCATAAGCTCTAAATACAGGGGCAGCCACCTGCTACTGTGCTTCAGGTGATCACCTGGCATTGCCAGATCCGACTGCCTAAAATAAGCAACTAATGATCGAAAGACAGAGAAGGCTGTAATATTTCTACAATGGCGTGGGAAGCCTCGATTGACCTTTGTTATCTGAATTCTACAAATCCAGAAACCTAGACATTTTGCCTAGGAACACCTAATTAATACATGTGCAGGGGGAAAGTCACACGCTGCAAGGCAAATAAACATTGCCGGCCAGCCTAATTCAACCCCGGGGCCGCCATTGTCTGTCTGCAGAGCCAGATCAGCACAGTCTACGGTGCACCAGTCTGGTCTGAAGCCCAAGCTAGCCCATGTTCACAAGTTTCCTTAAAAAAAAAAAAAAAATCTTGCTGCCATCACTTTTGGGTGTCTTTGACTTTGAGCATCGTCACTTAGTGAGTTGTCCTCTCCTTCCAGGTCCTTGGATGTGGCTCTGTTGCCCAAGCCATCCTCAGTCGAGGGCATTTTGGAGGAATTGTCACTGTCAATGTTGGATTTGCAATGGCTGTCGTAATGGCCATTTATGTGACTGGCGGGGTCTCTGGTAAGTCGTGGGAAAAATGGCCGTACTGCTAACACAACCGTCCCAATGTGCTAGCTTGACATTTAGAATGTATCTAGTGCCCAGGTGCCACTGTGGGTTAGGTATTAGACTGTTAACTGCAAGGTTGGTGGTTCAAACCTCCTACCTGCTGAAAGGGAGAAAGAGGAGATTATCTGTTCCCATAAGGATTGATAGCCTTGAAACCCCTATAGATGGTCGCTATAAGTCAAAATTGACTTGATGGCAGTGGGTGTCATTTCAGAACAGTTCTAAACTGCTTGAGGCAAAAGTGGGAGAGTGAGAGTTTAGAACTGATTCCTAAATTATTCCCCTGAACTGCACTTTTCATCGTTACACGTTCGACCCCACATTTGGAAGTTCTTTCTCCAATACTCCACGACTAGCTCAGGGAAAGTCATTGCACAGAAATAAGTTCCTACCACAGCAACAAAAAACAATCTAGGTATCTTGCAAAGTGCAGGTCTCTTCCAAATGGTCTGGGATTAATTCTGTCCTAAGAAATGGACCAATGATGAGAAGATATTCTCTACTTTCTGAGAAGCCAAGTGGAAGGAAGATATTTCATGGCGTTTGAGAACTTGGGGAACGTGACCCAGCTATCAAAGTCACTCTAATTCATTCAGCATCCTACTCTGGGGATAGAGCGCGGAGGCACAGCTGTTGGTGATAAGGAAAGAAACACGTCAACTCTCTGAAGCCATCATGTTGATTGCGACCCAGGATGAGCCCTTGTGTCAGGGTATCCGAGGAGAATTGTGCTGCCGGGCTTCCGGTGGCTGATGTTTCAGTTCCTTCAGTATGTTGCCAGGCCTTTCTCCCAGAGACCCTGTGGGTGAACTCCCGTGTCTCCCCTTTCTGTCAGTAGCAGGGCGCATTAACTGTTGCACCACCTGGGGTTCAAAAAGTTCCTGAGCAAACAGTTCATGCTGGGCACTCTTCCTAGTGGCCATATTTTGTCTCCATTCCCTTCACAACAACACTCTGATTTGGTTAAATTATTTCCTCTTTGCCAGAAAACGAGAGTTCCTGGGAGATTAGTTGAATTGCTAGGCATCCTCCAGGTGTTAAAAGGTCTAGCAAAGATTGTCCCCCTTACTATCCATTGAGTGATCTAGGATGGAGGAACCTTGCAGGTAGAGGCATAAGACCTGGGAAGACCAACATAAGACTGTGCAGTTAAATCCGCTTCCTGATGAGAAAAGCTGCTAGCAAGGTGCTATAGAACGACTCCTTAGACTTCCTGGGCGTCTCTTTGGGCAGGAGGGCCTGTGACAGACATTTGCTAGATGCAGATTCTCGGGCGGTGCATTGTTACACTGATTCCTGTCATGTCAAGACGACTTGTTTGACCTGAGCAGTGCTTCCACACACACAATTACCCGGCCTCTCTTGTGCTCTTAGCACTGTACCTCCAGCCGTAAGGTAAACCAGTAGTAAGGCTCAAGAATGTGTGTGCTATGAATGTGGTTTGACTAGAGTGCATCCTCAAACCACACGTATAACAGACTCGAGGCTTAAAGCAACCATGCAGGAATGTTGCTTGCTATACTTGATAAGCTCACATGATCCTCACTTCCTTGTGGCCACCAGAAATCACGCATGTTTTTCCTTTTTTTTTTTTCAAGGTGGAGATGTTATTTCCATGTGTCTCTTCCACATAAAACCCTGCATGAAACATTGCCAATATTTGCCTAGGATAAATGGGTCCCAGGCCCTACCAGTGCAGGGAGCACCCTTTGCACGTTTAAACTCCTGTGGCTAGGGAGGCAGAGCCGGCATTTTCAATAGAAGTTGGGTTTTGAGTGAGAGCCACAATCAGACTAAATTTTACATAAGAGACAGTAGTAAGACTCCAAACAGGTGGGAAAATGTGGCATTGCATTAGAAAGAGAGTCCCTCTCTTCCCATTTATTTTTTCTATTAACAGCACCAATCCAGTCCTGCAAGGGCTGGTAGCTTTGGGACCATATCACTGGCCCATCGGTGACATTCACATGGTTAGACCCAGGAGGCCTGAGCAAGCTCAGACAAAACGAGGGGGAGGTCTTTGTGACAGCAGGGACAATCTCATGGAGCTGCAGTGAACACACAGGTTTATGGGCACATCTGAGACTCTCTTCAAAGATTCCAAAAGTAAACAGTCTGCATCGGGCAGAAATGGAAATGCGGTCCTGTTTGGTGGTCACAGACTGATGAGGTCAGCTGGCGTTTGGTTTTTAAATATACTACATTACTTTACTGCCTAGATGTTAGCCCACTCCACTCTTTGAGAACATGCCAATAGTCTGACAATCAAATCCAGTCATCCAAAACTCAGAATGCTTTATTTCTTTCTGCAGTGTCCCACACCAAGTGCTAGGCTGCCAATTTGGACTTAGAGTATGATAGTTGCTCTAGACGTAGCCTAACAGAACTAAAATAAATGTATTGAGAAGGCACTCCACTCCTCTTGCTTAATGACAAATATGATCTTCAAGTTCTCTCTATCATTTACTTGCCCCTTAGTGAGGTCTAAGGAAGTCCTGCTCATACACCACTTTCACTCAGGCTCACCTGGACGCCAGCTGCAGCGCAGGGTTTTTGCATGAACAGCCTGAGAGCATCCTGGTGGAGTCAAGATGGGATTGCAGAATTCTCTGGCTCAGATACCAGCATTCTTTCCACAGCACTGCTCTGGACATCTTGCTTGGTGAAGTAGAGGGGCAGCAACACAGAGCAAGGTCTTTATTTATTTATTTTAAACATTTTATTAGGGGCTCATACAACTGTTATCGCAATCCATAAACATATCAATTGTATAAAGCGCATTTGTACATCATTCTCAAAACATTTTCTCTCCACTTAAACCCCCTACATTAGGTCCTCTTTTTCCCCTCCCTCCCCGCTCCCCCCTCCCTCATGTGTCCTTGATAATTTATAAATTGGTATTTTGTCATAGCTTGCCCTGTCCGACGTCTCCCTTCACCCACTTTTCAGTTGTCTGTCCGCCAGGGAGGAGGTCACATATAGTTCCTTGTAATCGGTTCCCTCTTTCCTACCCATTCTCCCTCTACTCTCCCTGTTTCGCCACTCACACCACTGGTCCTGCAGGGCTCATCCGCCCTGGATTCCCTGTATTTTCAGTTCCTATCTGTACCAGTGTACCTCCTCTGGTCTAGCCAGACCAGAGCAAGGTCTTTAATGAGACAGGTTGGCCCTGGGCTGCAACAGACAAAGCATTGTGAGGATGGCACAGGCCCCAGTGGTTGTGTGCTCTGTTGAGTCAGAAGTGGCTCAATGACATCGGTAGCAAGTTCTGCTTGGTCCTTGTGATAAACCAAGAATGACAACTCATCTCTGCAGGGAACAATTTCTAGAAGGCGCTCTGCCCATAGGCAAAGTAGTCAGGATGTCATTTTGCTGCCTTCTCTGAGCTCTTTGACCACCCTCAGCCCCGCTTAGTCATTGCTTTGCGGTAGACCTTTCCCAACAGTCTCTCAGAACCCCAAACGACTTTCCCTCTTTGTAGACAGGCCTGTGTAATCTGGGCAATCTGAATAAAGACTTTTAATGACTTAATTCTTTAACACTGGCTATGTCAAATGCTGTGTTAGTTCAGGTAGACTAGAGAAACAAATCCATAGACACACTCATATGTGCATAAAAATAATTTTATATTCAAGAGCAGTTGAATATTGAGTAAACATCCCAGCCTAGTCCAGATCAAGTCCACAAGTCTGATATTAGCCCATATGTCTGATACCAATCTATAAAGTCCTCTTCAGACTCATGAAACACATGCACTGATGCAGAATGCAGGAAGATCACAGGCCAGTGGGTTGGAAGTCTTCTGGATCCAGTGGTCTTGTAAGCATTTCAGAGCTGGCATGGGTCTCTACAGGGCTTCTCTGGCTCCTTCAGGTCTGGTTGCTTCAGGGTAGGTTCATGTGGCTTCTCTAGCTCCCAGGGCATAGCACCATGTGTTTTGTCAGTAGAGCATCTCTCAGGGAGAGAGCTGTCAGTAGAGTCTCCAAGGGAGTGAGCAGAGAGACAGTGTCTCCCACCTCCAAGGAGGAAAATCAAGGGTTTTCAGAATTCTCAGGAGAAGGCCATGCCCACACAGAGGCCTCATTGGCTATGACCTGATTAACAGATTAGACTCCACCCCTTCACTCTTAATCCTCTCAAGTCCCAAATTGACACCAGATTATGGAACTACCACACACACCTATGTAACTCTGGAGGTGTAAGGTGAATCAGTTCCTACCTCAGGGTGCTACCTAAGGGGTTAAAAAGCCACCCCCAAAATGTCTTGAATTCCTGGATCTTGTACCTGTGGGTGTGATCCTGTTTGGAAATAGGGGTTTCTTTTGTGATATGAATGAGATTATACCAGTATGTGGTGGATCCTAAACCTAAGCACCTCTGAGCTACGGAAAGTCCAGAACAGATCAACGCTAAGGCACATACACAGGGGAAGACAGATGCATGTGAGGAGTGTTTTCAAGAAAGAAATGCCAAGGAAGCAAAGAACACCTGGAACTTTCCATAAAGAAGGACTCAGTATGACCAAGATCCTGATTTGAACGTTCAACCTCCTAGACTGTGGAACAATCAATCTCTGTCCTTTGAAACCACCCACTGACAGTATTTGTGTTTTAGTAGCACTAATGTAACTACAGAGCCCTGTGGGCTAAGAAGTGGGCAGCTAATCACAGAACCAACAGTTCAAACCCAGCGGTCACTCCTATAAAGATTTCCAGTCCCAGAAACTCTGTATGGGTAAGCGCTCTATCACAGGGAATCCTGGGCAGACAAACCCCTCAAGACCAATAATGAGAGTAGCAATACCGTGAGGGTAGGGGAAGGGGAGGGGAGAAAGGGGGAACCTAACACAAAGATGTATGTAGAACCACCACCACCCCACCAGGGGGACGAACAACAGAAAAATGGG